GGAGGGAAGCCCCTGTGAAGGATAAAGGGACCAGACCTGAGGTGGAAGGAGTCTGGCCCTGTGACAGGGAGGGGAGGAGACTGGGGAGGAACAGTCCAGGAAGGGTTTGGCCCGGCTGACGGGGTGTCCTAGAGCCAAAGGCTCCTGCTGAAAGAGGCCCACAGCCCACGGATAGGCTGCCATGGAACTTCTGCTGCTCTTGGTTGTGGGCTGAGCCCCTTACGTGGGAAGTGTGGCCTCGGCGTGAACAGGGTAGCGGGCCCAGAGGGCCAGCACCTGGGCCCTCGGCCACTTGGGCCTCCTCGCAGCAAGACATCTGAGCAGCACATCTGCATGGCTGCCACACCTACCCAGTGGAATTTTTATTTCAGGAATCCTGGGTTTTTTAAAATTCTAGAAGTTCTTTTATATTTTCCAGTTCTTTCATTATTTTCCTTTTCCATTTAATTTCTTGATTACGTTGAATATTTTTATAGCTGTTTTAACGTCCTTGTTTCCTAATCCATCATCTTTGTCATGTTCTTAGTCTGCTTGATTTTTTCCCCCGGTTACAAGTTACATTTTTCTCTTTCACGTGTCTAGAAATTTTTCATCGGTTGCCATAAATCATGAATTTTTATGTTTATGAGCACTAGGTTTTGTTTCATTCTATTGAAAAGTGTTAGAATTCTTTCTGGCAGGCAGTTAAGATACTTGCAAGTCAGTTTACGCTTTGGGGGCTTGATGTTTAACCGTTTTGGTGGGTCTAGAGCAGCCTGTCTTCTAGGGAAGGGTTAGCCCGGTCCCCGGTGTATCCCGGGGGTCTCAGTACCCGTGTGTGCAGTGAGCGGTCCCTCTGCTCTGGCTGGCTCAGCCCCAGGGCAGCTCTTGGACTGCTCACCCGGAGACACCCTGGGATGTCCTTTGCCTGGGTGCTCTCCACCCGCCTCGGGGGCGCCGCCCCACGCACCCTGCCTGCTGCTCAGCCAGAGACCAAACGCGCTGGATTGACGTGGCTCTTTTCTGCCCGGGTCCTTCCCCCTAGCACTCAGCCCATGTCTACTCAGTGCCACCAGCACACTCAGGTGGTCCAGTTTCCAGATGCATGTGGCCAGGTGTTGAGTCCAGGCCCTATTACTCCCTCGTGGCGGGAAGCTGCAGGCATTACCTGGCATGGGTTGGCCTCTCACTTGGGCTGTCCCTAGTGGTGGAACCGGAGGCCGCCTGAGGAGCCGCTAGAGGCCAAGGTGACTCAAGTCGCGGCCGTTGGGGAGCGGCTTTCCACGCCCAGCGGCTCCAGCAGGGCACGCTCCACCCCATCCTGTCACCCTTGCCCCCCGTCCTCCTGACCGTGTCGTCTTCTCCGCTGTCCGGGTCGGTCAGGGAGGACTTCTGCATCCGCTCCACTCCTCCAGCACTTTCCACCTGCTACCATCCCACTCCCCAACTGGTTTATATATTCTGTGTATTTTATAAGGTTAGAGAAGATGGGACTTTTATTCGTGTCTCTAAGCAGCCAGGACACAGTGTATCAAATGTAGAAGGAATTCACAGTTTTCTCCAGGAGGATGAGTGCATATATATTTCTCTTCTCAACTGGCTTTTGTCCAAGCAGCTGGCAGTTTAAGCCTGTGCCAGCATCTCTAAGCTGCGTGTGACAGCAGTGCCTGGGAGGAGCAGCCTCTGTGAGCTCGGACCTCTTGAGCCACTCCACGGCACCCATGCCGTCCCGGCCTCTAGCGTGTAGAGATGGGCGCCTTTTTCTAAAATCGGAACTCACCCAGGGTTTAAAATGTCCTCACAGTCAAACTCAGCAGCATCACTTTGTTTCAGCCGCACCACCCTGAGCTCAGACCTACCGTGCCTGCGGCTCCCCGGCCTGACCCAGGACAAAACTGACTGCGGGCCCGCGTCCAGGAGTCACGCTCTTGTGCTGACGGTCGGACGAGGTGCCCGCGTCGGCTTCTGAGAGATGCTCCCGCCAGGAGGTCCTGGGCCACTCCATCCTCACAGGGCCGCAGAGCGTGTTTTCTCAAGTGATGAACGTGGTGGCCTGGGGCTGGGAGGTGTGAAGGCTGTGGCTGAGAGAAGCAGATGCAGGCATGAAGTGATGAGAGGGACGAAGCTTTGTTGTGCGTATTCTCCTTGCGAGACACCCCAAATGGGGGCCCCCCTGGGGTTCCCTGTTGGCTTAACTGCACTGAAAGGGAGCCCTGAGGGTCTGGGGACCCTTGTCTGGGTATCAAAGGCCAGTTCGGTGCTGCCCCAGGAGGTCCAGAGAGCAGATTTTGTGATGCAGTTAATAGACGCTGGCTGCACTCAGCGGTTCCACATTCTGCGAGTTTTTATTCTCTGCTCTGGGGTTTAAAATTTGATTTGCAAAGAAGACGGCAGAGCCAAACTGTGGCCTCCCCGGCCCTTCCTCAGCAGGTGCTGGGGGCTGGCCCGGTGCCGGTTTGCTGGTGTCGGTGAAGCTTGAAAACCTTTCCGATGAAAAGAAATCACTTTCTGGTGTGATAAAAATGACGGAGTGATAAAAATTAAGATTGTTCTTTTATTGCTACGGCAGTTGTGTATTCATAGCAGTTGGCTGGGAACGTCTTTGTGGACGGGGAGAGACCACGTGGGGAGCTGCACCCGCGGCTCCTGCTTTGTGGCCACTCTGCCCCCGTCCTGGTTCTTGTTCCCAGGGGGTGGCCGCTCTCCCACGGCCTCAGCGCGGCCTCTCTCCCGTTATACAGACACCCAGTGTCTCCGTCATAAAACTCAGAGCAAGCTGCATGGGTGTTCTGTAGCAGCTGTAACGAATGGCCACAGGCCGAGCGGGTGAGAAGGTGCCCGTGTCATTTGCCAGTTCTGGGGGTCAGAGCACAAACCCAGGCGAGGGGCTGTGCTCCCACTGGGGCTCTGGGGAGCCTCTGCTTCTTTCCTTTCCAGCTTCTAGGGCCCCTCGCGCCTTGGCTCCCGTCCCCGGTCAGGCCGACCTCTGCTTCTGCCATCACATCTCCTGACCTGACCCTCTCCCAGGACCCTCATGATGACCCTGGGCCCACCTGTCAGTCCAGGGCAGTCTCCCCACCTCGAGGTCCCGGCTTAATCATGTCTGCACAGGCACAGGGTCTGGGGGTGAGGGCGTGGGAGTCTAGGGGGGATTTTGCGATCTCAGTACCCCCTTGACACAGAGGCTCTGCTTACACCCCGTCTCCGCACACAGCGCCCCCTGCTCGCAGGCTCCGGGGCCCCTCCTCTCCTTGGGTTCTCCCCCGCGCCGTCCTTGCTGGGATGGCGGCCCCTCCCTCGAGATGCCGGGTGGCGGCTGTGCAGCTGGGTCTCCAGCACAGCCCCGCCTTCTCGGCCACCGACCCAGCTCCCCACCTGCCCGTTGGTGGTCTCCCCACGGCGGCCCACGCGCTGCTCTCATTCCGCTTGGGAGCCAACCAGGGTGCCCGCCTCCCTGGGGCGCCACCCGCCTCTCCCCGGCTCGTGCTCCGCTGTGCTGCCCAGGCTTTCCTGAGCCCTTAAGGCCCGTGGAGGTCGCTGAGACCCTCGCGCAGGGCCGCACCTGCAGCTCTTCCGGCCCAGCGACCACCTTCTGCCGCAGTGCCTGTCGGAGTTGGGGAGCAGGGGCGCCACCCTCACTCCTGGGTCCTCCCTCCACTCCTGTCCCCTGCTCCTCCCGTGGCCACACCAGGCGTCCCCGCTCGCCCCGCCCCCGGGCTCTGCTGTTCCGTGTGTGCCCCCTGCCGGCTCCCCCTTGGCGGACACCCTGGGCCATCGTGTGCCACTGGCTCCCTTCCCAGTCTCCACCCAAGAGGATGACTCCTTGGGGGGAGCCGGGTGTTTCCTTTTTTCCCCTGTTGTATACCCAGGATGCTCCTGGCACCTGGACGAAACCTTGTGCACAGAGGCTCCCAGGGCAGGAAGCTGCGGTCAGCCTGCACTTCTGTCCTCCCCACTTACAGGTCGCCGCTTCTCTCCGCGTCCTGTAGCCACGCACGCCCACTGCAGGCCTGTGCACCTGCCAGAGGGGACGCAGGCTCAGTGCCGGGGGCGGGAGTGTGGCCGCGCGGAGTGTCCAGGCAGGGCTGTGTCTGGCCTCGGGTGTGACTGTGGCACCCCTCCTTGTGCTGCGGCCTCTGCCTCCACCTCGGCGTGGCTGGTAATGAATGCCCTCTGCTGATGAGAATCAAGGAAAGGCTGAGTTCTTTCTTAAGATGCTTCAGTACTTGTTCTCAAGGGCAAAGTGTGAAAGCTTTTTGTGTGTAGTATGTAGTGTGTACATATCTACTGTTGGACCACATTAACTGCAAGGTAGGAAAAAGAAAACTCCGTATTTTGTCCCCACTGTGTAACTGGATGAATCTCATTGTGCTTTGCCTGTTCCCTGCCCGGCCCACGCAAGACTCCTTCCAGCCTGGCCTTCAGAGCCAGGCTTCCACGCTCCACGGTGGAGGCCAACCCCGTGACGCGCCATCCCAGCCTGTGGACCCCTCGCCCTCGCCGCAGGCTCCCTTCCCCTGGGAGCCCTCCTGGCCATGTGAGGGAGCCTCTGTGCCCCTCCAGGTCCACCCTGTGTGTGCCCTGCAGCCCTGGGGCCCCTGCCCCCGATTTGTGGTGGGGCCCATGGCAGGAGGTGCTGGCAGGAGACGGGAAGGTGGGGCAGAGAGAGGGGCTGAGACATCTCCCCTCCCGCCCCCTCCCCCCCCCCCACCCCCAAAGCTGTGGCTCTCCTAGGTCAGTGCCACTTCTGCCCGAGGCTCCATGGCCACCCTCCCGACAGCAGCATGGACATGTGGGCTGGCCACTGGCATTTGTAGCCCCCCCAGCAGCATGGAGGCTCCCGAGGGCAGGGTCGTGTTGTGCTTCCTTCCACGGGACCCCTCACCCTTACAGCGGGACCGCCAGAAGCAGGCCCCGCTGGCGTGGGGAGGGGAAGGGTGGACTGGAGGACGCTGTTAGGTGAGCTGCGGGGACGGACGGACGTTGTAAACTGTTGGTGACCACGGCTTTCCCTCCCGCAGCTGCCGGGCCGCAGGTACAGCCCTGGGTACAACAAGGACGTGGGGGACAAATGGATCTGGCTGAAGTGACGGACGGCTCCGTGGAAGCTGCCTCGCGAGGATGAAGATGCACCCAGGCCGCCTGACTCCCCTGGACGCCACGTAGCTTAAAATCGGGGGTGGGAGTGGATGATCCTGAAGTTGCACCGTGGAAGCAATGGCCCAGCAAACAGCAGTCTGCCCTGCAGTGTACTTACGGGAGTGGAAGGAGGCACCCGCTTTTAAAGGGGGGGCCCTCCAGCTTTATTCTGGGACGATGATCACTGGGGAGAAACAGTCTGCTGTGAAAGAGCAGGTGTCACTTGGAGAATCTCATTTCGTCACAGTCACGCTCTGTGTCAGGCAGATTTTGTACATCGTGTGTTCAGACTTCAAGAAATAAAACCGTTTCTATGGCGCATCTCTCCATTATACATCTGCCCACACACGCATACGTGTCACATACGTGTGTATGCACACACCATTAGCCAACAGTTTGCTTTGATGTGGTTTGGTTTGATCAAGACATATATTAGGATTGAAGAGTTTTTCTGAAGCATTTCTTCTTTCTGTTTTAGACTGTGGCTACTACATTAGAGAAGAAGCGAAAAAGCAAAGAGGAAGCAGGTGCCCTAGATTCATAGAGCAGAGTATTGGCTGTGAAAGAGCTTTTGGAAGAGCCTCCTGTGACGGCCGCCATCGCTGGTGGCGCGACTCCTTCCTGAGGGGACATTCAAGCACAGAGTGTCAGTGGGTAAAACACAAAAGCAAAACAGTATACTCTCTTTATCACCTAAAAATCCAGTTGTTGATCAAAAATGAGTCACGTGAGAGGAAATCGCACTTGCTCCTTCACCTCTGTTGAAACTTAGAAAACAAAAGTCAGATTTCCTGAAGGCCAGTTGTTGAGGTCCGCGTTTTAGTTCTGGAGTTAAGCTGTAAATCCTGTTAAATTGGGTTTTTTACTGTGGAGCCCCACTGTGTTCAGCATGGTCACTCTGAGCCCGCACGTGTCTATTTAAATGTAAATGAATTAAAATCCACTTCCTCAGTTGTGCTGGCCACAGCTCAGGTGCTTGGAAGCCACGTGGCCTGTGGCTTCCGTCCGGGACGGCGCAGGTGAGACGGCGTCCTCACCGTGGAAGGTGCCCTCTGGTGTGGCTGTGTTAGAGCTCCCGCTGGCCCCCGCACCATCCTTCCTTTCCCTCCCTCCCTCCCCTCGCCCGTCTCTCCCTCTCTTTCTCTCTGGATTTTAAGAACTGAACGTAAAGCTTCCCAGCAGTTTCCGAGTTGGAGTCTAGATTTAAATGGGCGACATTTTGCATTTCACTAAAACACAAAGCGCTTTCACCGCTGCCTGAACGTGCGCCAGGCGTGGGGCCAGTCCTGCAGTCTCGTGGCCCGGGTGTCTCACAGACCCCTCAGAGAGGGGAGGATGGAAGAGGGGACCACGTTCAGCTGTCTTGGCTGCTCTGGCGTCTAGGCTGTGACGGGCCAGCGTGTCCCTTCTCTCGCCGCCACCCTGCAGTGTCCCTCCCGCCGGGGTCGGCGTGTGTGTGGCCAGAGGACTTGGGTGGCAGACAGGCCTCTCGGGTGGGCAAGGCCAGTTCCAGCTTTGGGGGCAGCCTGCACCCCCGACGGGGTGTGGCTTTGTGATTGGTGGGGCTGAGAGGGTGAATGGTGTCACGTTCGGTGGTTCCTTTCCCGTGATGTTGGGCAGAAGAGCAAGTGGGTGGCGCCCAAGTCTCTGCACATTGAAGCCCCGAGGGGCCCGGCCGCCGCCACGTCTTCCCCCAGAGCTGCCGCATCGTCGCCTCACGAGAATACTCGCAGCCCTGAGCAAACTCAGGGTGGCGGTCAGACTGCGTCCTGAGTATGTCCTGCTCGAGGATCGGGACGGAACGACGCGGTCATGTGTCTTGCAGGTGTGTGTTTCCAGGCGGGAGACTCTGTATTGAGGAAAAAGTGCTCATTCTTTTCCTAAAGTAAGTACGTTTTTCGTTCTATCAGGTTTTGTAAGCAGAAAGGTGAGAACGTCGGCTGCCCAGAGGGAAATGACAGACGGTTCCGTCTGTCCACCTTAGCCGGCGAGTCGCCCCGGCCTCACCGTCCCCCCGCTGGCCGCAGCCATTCAGCAGCCACCCGCCGGGGCCCGTGGCCGCGTGCCGACAAGGCGTGTGGCCCAGCGAGGGTGGGTGACGAGGGTCCTCAGACGGCAGGTGTGCCGAGGACTCTCTGGTTACGTTGTTCTCATCTGATCTCGAGGGCTGGGGTCTGTGATACAACAGGAATGAAAGGCGCGCCTGCCTTGCCTGCCAAAAAAGCCCCTTTTGTTTGTCGAAAGCCTCCCCGCCCCCCGCCAAAAAGCCCATCAGCCACCGACTTGGCTTGGGACCTTTCTGTGTCCTGTGTCCTTACCAGTTACCCATTTCTGGGTTGGTCGTTCTTAGAGGTGTTTGTACGTGTCAAAACAAAGAAGCAAGCCTTCAGCTGCTTTTTTGTAAGAAAGCACGGTCCGTGCTCACACTGGGTGCAGATCAGTGAGATTCGGGGATTGGCAGAGCCGGGCTGGAGAGAAAGCTGCAGTTACTGTCACGTTGGGCTTTAGAGGAGACGCCTGTGTGGGCAGCAGCCCCTGGCTGGTCAGGACTGGGTGAATGGAAGCGTGCGCCCGAGGGATTCGGGGCTTTCATGTGACTGCAAATGAAAGGCGGGAACCTGAGGCTTCCTTCGGGAACATCGGGAAAACACAAGGGCAGTGGCTCCGGTGCCACCCCGCTGCAGGGACCACCTGATACTTTTTTGAATTTTGCTGAGGAAAGTGTGCTTTTAAGTCCACATCCAGTACTTGAACCAGAGGTTTCCTCGGGGAGGTGCTGGGGGCTTGGCCAGGATGAACCTGGGGTGTTGGGACCCTCGGGGCTGCAGGAAGAGGTGACGCTTCCCCGCGCAGCGTGGTCACCGGGCTCGCAGTTTGGCTCAAGTTGCCGTCAGGATTCTCCCCGCAGGAAGCAGTGAAGCGTGGTCAGACTTTATCTTCAAACACGTAAATAAATTCCACGTCTATACCGTTGACTTACTAGTTTTGAAATTCCTGACGAAAAATTGTAATAAGAAGAATGACGTGTGTTTCGCAAGTGGTTCTTCCTAGTTGAGGTTCTGAAGCTCCGTGCTTAGACCCAGCTGCTGCTTGTAATGTGGAAAGTACTCAGGTTGGTACCATGTAGTTTCATGGAATTAACTTTTTGTTAATCACGAGGCTATGCTAGTGACTGTAATACAATCCCAGCTTTTCATTTTTGAAAAGGCCTTTTCCTCGGCATGGTTTGCGTGGTGGTGGGTTCTTTAATACGTGGGTGTATGGAGCCTCCTGGGTCCCAGGCACCGTTTACGGCCCTGGACGGAGGGCAAAGAAGAAACACACCAGCCGCAGCTGCAGATGTCTTGTCCCTCGTGCAGAGAAGCGCTGGACGCCGTGAGGCTCGGTGACCGGCGGGGCGAGCATGTCGGCCGAGGAGGTCCAGGCCGGCCCCCGGGGCACCCCAGCGCGGACTCGGGAGCTGAGGACGGGGGACAGTGTGGCCTTGGGAGGTGGCCGGGCCGACGTCCTGGGAGGATCTGGGCCGGGAAGACGGCCGGGGATGTGACCCCCGGCAAGAGCTGCGTCCGGAGGTGGACGGAGAGCCTGGTGGGTGGGGACCAGGTGGGGCAGGGAAGCACGTGGGGACAGCTGGGAACAGAGGCCAGGGTCCTGTTAAGTTCCGAGCTTTCCACTGAGCCTTCTTGTAAAGTCAGTCCCCACGCCAGAAGTACGCAAGGAGGGGCACGTGCCCGTTCCTCGTTGCTGAGCCTTCGTCTGCTTGGGAAGCGCCGTGAAGAGATGGCTGGGAGTCACCGGGGGCAGTCTCACCCGGGCTGCACATTCCCTGCCGAGACGCAGGGACACTCGGGCCGGGGAGGCCACGTCTTCCCCGAGTGTCGCGGTGGAGTGTGCGGCTGGAGCCCTTTCGTAGGAGTCGGGAGCCTCAAGGAAGACTTCGACTTTGATGTCCCTGACGTGCGCTAAGTGAGGCCCGGGCCCCGGCCGGGCGGGAGCCAGCGCTGAGCCCCCTTCCTGCGTGCGCTGCTGCCTCCCACCCATTCTCCCTCTAGAGGAGTCACCACCCGCGTGGTGAAGACGCCAGTGTTTTTGCCTGAGTCTGTGTGTCTCACCTGTGTGGCCCTGGGGGCTCACCTGGGCTCAGGTGGGCGGCGTGTCAGCAGGGGGGTGTCCAGAGCTCGGTTTTCTGTCGGGGGCCGGGGATGAGTGTGTCTGCGTCAGTGCGGCATGTGTCTCCAGGGATGACTCCAGGCCCCTGACCTGGCCCCGGCCCCGTGCCCTGTTGCTGCCTCCTCTCCTGTCCCTGTCCCTGTCCCTGTCCCGGGGCACCCGGCCCATGCCCCTGCGGCGTGGGTGCATGCAGCCCTGAGCCTCGCTGCTGCCGCCCTTCCTGCCCTTGGCCCCTCAGCGGGGAGGCAGGGCTGCCGCTGGAGGAGATGCCTGCAGGGGGCCGGCGGCGGAGTCCACGCAGAGCTCGTGGGTTGGTGGCTGCCCCCGCCCCCAGCGCCGCCCCCAGCGTCCCCCCGCTCAGCCCAGGCTGCCTGTGGGCGGCTCTGGAGGGGGGGTCTTCAGTGGACTCACAACTCTCACCCTCACCTCGTAGGCTCTTCCCTCCGGGTACCAGGCACTGTGAGCCTGGAGCCGAGGGGCCGAGCGGGTGGTCAGCGTGCGCCCTGTGGGCCGGACCCGGATGAGGAGGCCTGGGCACCGAGTGCTGGCTTGGCCGCCGGACAGCCGCGTCCTGTTCCCGTTGCCATGAGCTCTCTGCCATCCTGAGGCCTGGACGCCCCCGCTGGCGCCCAGTCGTCACACAGCCAGGCGCCCCGAGGGCCCCTTCACATTCTGCAGAAGGGTCTTCCCCCACCCGCAGCCCCCCCAAGTACTGAGGTTGCCGAGATGACCTGCTCTCAGGGCAGTTTTCCACATATATACGTCTATAGTATTTGTGTAC